ACCTGCTTAAATCAGAATTATCGCATTGAGAAGTGATATAGAGAACAATAACATTTGACTTACTATATTCAATTTCTTCTTCAATTCCAATTAAACAGTTAAACAGATATGGACTGATTCGGAAACAGCAAAAAGTCTAATTATGATATTTTTTAAGAAATTCAAATACGTTGGAACCATCCTATATTGCTCAAGTAGTGTACATGTATATCCAACCGTAAACCTTTCTTTTCCTGCTTTTCGTTTTCTGTGGAATTCTTTGCTTTCAGGAGAAATTTATCAATTTTACCACCAAAAACAAATGTTTAATAATGTCCACAAAAATAAAATGCCCCTGACTTAAATCCATCAAAATGACATGACTATCTTCATACAGAGATTTATCTATTGAAATGAACCTGTATTGTGTTTGAAAACTACTCACTGTAAACCGTCACCTGACAGGTAGATTTTACCTCGAGGGTATAATTATCACATCTGGGCCTGTACAAAATGACAATAGTCAGGGTCAAGCTATCCTTATCTTGATTGAATAATAAGAAACACACAAAGATTTGTAATAAAATAGACAGAGACACAAAGGGCTTAATTTCTCGTGTGAAGCATGTACTAAGTATGTTGTTAAATTTTTCCCTCGCCATTCGATTTGGTCCCTCGCTTCGCTCGGCACCAAATCTCATGGTACTCGGGAAAAGTTTACCAACATATACTTGGCTTCACGGAATGCTTACTTAAAACAATATCGTTGAAATCCATGTATCAGCTAATATCTCAGTAGCCTGCCATGGCTTATAACTTATTCAGAGTACTGAGTTAGTTGAACATATATATACCGTTAGTATGCGATAGAGTAATGTCACTACATAAATAAGAAAACGTTGATGATGACAAAGCTGAAGACATCTTGTTTGTCATACAGTTTAGATTTAACTTTCATCACGGTCCCACTACAACCTTCATATTTTGTTAAAATCTCGCAATTTTTTCGATACTCAAAAGCAGACTCAATTTTAAATCACAATGCAGGCTTATGACAGATAAGATGATGTTCATTGATTATTCTAAGTTTTTTTTCAATCAATGTTAGAATTCTAGAAAAGTTACCATCATACAAACGGTCCATCACTGAGTACATCTTTCCGTAGACAACGAGAGGAATATTGGATTGGAAAACTTCGAACAGCTTTTCCATATGGATGTAATGACAATATCGGTATTGTCGGAAATCTTTCCAATCTACAGTGTAACAATAAAAACCATATGTAAATCAACAGTAAGGTTTTCATCGCATTCGCACCAAACTTTTTCTCTGTCCTTTTAAAACTTTTAAATAGTATACTTGTGTCAAGAAATTTCTTTTTTTATTCCTTGATCCAGAATACAGGCTGGGGTCTGTGGTGATGGATATTGCAAATCTAGGTTTTTTATCCTCCACGTTTTATTGACAAAAATGCGGCTTAAACAACCCGTTCTTTCCTTAAACTTCAATATGGCGACAAAGTAATTTTCTTAGTTGGTTTGGTTTGGTATGAACAAATTTTATTGTAATTTCTAATTACAAAGGATTGGGCTGAAGTTCTAAAAACTTATGACGCCCTCTCCCTACATAAAAAAAACAATTCAATTAGGTCACAATTGAATATGTACATTCAAAGCATTCAATATTTACGAAAATTACAAAACAATGCATTTTAAAGAATCATACATATAATTTTGTTTATACATGTATGTAGAAATAAATAAAATATTCAAATAAAATATAATAACAGTAATACTAACAAGTGAAGCTGCCAGACTCTTTGACAGAAAAGACGTTCGTTCTCCACAGCACTCAATCTAACCCCCGACCCCCCCCCCCCACCCCCCCCCACCCCATAATAAGACATCTATATCTAAAATATGAATTTTATCAAATGGTAAAAATTCATCAAAAAATTCCTTTCTGGCTTCGTTATACATTGGACATACAAAAAATAGTGGTACGCATCTTCTGTCTTGCCACATGAGCAAAAAGGGCTTGAAATTAAATTGCATGTATACAGGTCACTATTCAATGCACAATTATGTAGAAGTCCGGTCTGGAGAACATTTAGTCGTCTGTTACCATAATCAAAATATGCTGGCAGGGCAGATTTTTTATTACTTAATTTAGAATTAAAATTTGACCTCAATTGTACATTTCTTTTTTTCTTAGTCACAAAAGGGCCCAGTCTTGTATTCCACCATATTTCAAGTTGAAGACTATATGATTCATTTCCTACAAATATGCATTGACTATTGCTTCCAAACATTTTAATTATAAAAAAAAAAACTTTACAGAGCCTAGATACCGATTATCTGAAACATAATCCTGCTTCCTGTTTATGTTCTTCTTCACCCAATAAGTAAAGTCCTTCTGGACACATTATTACTGATGACGTAAATATACTTAATACTCAGTAATGAGAACCTTAAATTATTAATTTTAAATGGGCTAAAATTTTGGGAACCCGATCTCTTAATTGGCGTCATAATTTCATAAAAATATAGCCCCAATGAATTCTGTGAAAGATTTCGCCAGGCGATGGAACAAACATGAAAAAGAAGACAGAGTGGACTAAATGTATCAGATCTACTAAGTATGTTAAAATCTTGCATCAAGTGATTTAGGAGAAAAATAAAAACCATCTATCCTTCTGTGTTTAGTAATCAGAAGTGAAAAAATAATTAAATTACACGGTCAGTATGTACTGGTACTTGCTGTCAAAACAGAAAACAAAATTGTCTTTGTTTGTAAGACTCATTATCAAAAGAGTATTTTGGAGGAACTGGGATTTAATTCTACCAATGGTTTATCAACTGATACCCATAGCTCCCTCTCTATATCATCTGTCAGTTTTGAATATTTTTGATATTCCTTACATCCAACATGAGTTTGAATTATCAGATCTAAACTGGGTTCCAAAACTTCATAAAAACCCTTGCAAACAAAGATACATAGCGGGTTCTAGTACTATATATAGTAAATGTTCTACCAAGCTTCTTCTTTACTCCTCTCTAAAATTTTAACAGTAGTGAATGAGAAACTTCAGGAGTATTGTTCAACTAAAAAATTCGAGAAGTTATGTAAATCACATGTGAATATGTAAAAATTCCAAAGAAATTTTGAAAAATTTGAAATCACAAACTTTTACCAAAATCACCAGCTTAAAAGCTTTGAACTTTTCAACTTTATATACAACCATTTCCCACGATAAATTAAAGTCCAGACTCTTTTTATATCTTGATGGCTGTTTTTTTCCAATGAAAATAGAACTCGTAAATTTACTTACCTTGTCTATGATCATTTGCAAACTTATTTTATTTTTTTAAAAATCGGATTGAACATTCAAGTACTGTGATGTTGATATTAAAAAGATGCTTGAATTACGGATTGACAATATCTATTTGGAATTTGGAGACCAGTTCTTCCAACAATATATTGGAATTCCCATGGGTTCACATTGTGCCCCGTTATTTGTATTCATATGAAGCAGAGTTTGTCCGAAATATTTTTACGTGAAAAGAAGAAAACACTCGTTGTGGCCTACAATACGACACCGAAATATGTCGACGACGTAATGTGAATTAACAATATTTTTTTGTGTCGGTACGATATATCCCAGTGATATTGAAATAAAAGATACCACAGATTCTATTTTTTTCATATTTGGCATTAATGATAATTTTATAACCTAGCTTAATGATAAACGTGATAACTTTTACTTTTTATCTTCCCTGATTTATGCAGCAATATACCTTCATTACCTGCATACGGAGTGTTTAATTCTAAGTTGATTCATTACGCAAGAGCATGTTCTACGTACGAACAATATCTAAAACTAGGTAAATTATTGAAAAACGAGTTGGTGAAACAAGAATATCAGCAGTCTCGTTTAAAGTCATCATTTTGTACGTTCTATGGTCGATACAATGACCTTGTCAGCAAATACAATTTATCATTGAGTAAAGGTTTTTCATACTAATTGTTAGTCCATTATTTATACACTGAATTGACGACGGATTTTTCCGTTATTTCCCGATCATGAAAAAGAGCACATGGCGGGTGTGATCGGTCTGCAGGGGATACTAACTCCTCCATAGTACCTGATCCAACCTCTGATGTTTTTGAGATCCATGTTTGCGCTGCTACTATTTTGTATTGTTTAATGGACTTTTTGAGTTTTAATACTGTTTTTTATTTCTGAACGTTGAATTAAACCAAGTTCCTTTAAAAGACAGTTGCAATCAAGAATCTTAAAAGTAAAGATGATGTTGCTACAATTCCTATCTGGTGGAACTATAACATTGTGTTTATGTGGTCTTTGAATTTTTTTTTTTACAACCCTCCGATTTAGTGAAAAACGAAAAAATAGATGGTACACATACTGTTTTTCGACTTTCGAACCAGATTTCTTGATACATTTTTAAACCACTTTTATATAATGTTCCATTCTGAGAAAGTTTTTATATCTCATTCTTCATATTTAGTCCCATGTCTTGCTTAATCTTCGACAGCATTTATAATAAAAATACGTTTTGTCACTAATTAAAAGATCGGGCTATGATTGCTTTAAGATCTTTATTCTCCAATAAGAATTCCAATAAAAAGTCACTTCCATCAAGTGCCCCTTGTCATGACCGGCTTTGTTATTGGGTTACCATTACCTTATTCTTTTTCTAGTATAACATCTAAATATGAAACAAATGTGTCAGACTCTGTGGTATCAATGCGTCATCACATGAGGAGATTTCTGTATTTATTCTTCGTTGTGATGAATCACGTACAAATTGAATGCATTCATTCTTCTCTACTTTGCTTTGTTTATACAGTAAACAAAGTGTAATATATTTGCTTCGATGAAAATGATTCATTGAACAGAGAATGTGTTTCCGATATTTCCTTTTTTTGTGATGGAAAATCCCGGTTAGTGTAGATTCATTTTTTAAGCTCTTCTTTGTTAAGAAATACTAGTTTATGTATAGTATCATCTCATTATATAAATTCCTGTTGCAGTAAAATAAGAATTAGATCAGGAAGAAAAATCAAGCATTTTTTTTAATGTATATGTATATAAAGATCCATCCAGTCCACAAAAAATTAAGAAGACAACTAGGTAACGAAATAGCGATGACTGAATTATCAACAATAATCGATTACAACCAGACGACACTCAAACCGGAACAAGAATGGCCCTCGATGGTCCCCGCGACTCTATTACTAGTCTTTGGGATATCGGGAAACGTGTTAGCCTTGGTCATTCTCTGCTGTTCTACCAAAACGCACAAATGGCGACCGTTCTACCGCTTCGTTTGTGGACTTGCCATCACAGATGGAGGCGGGGTGCTACTGTCCTACCCAATCATCATGGTTCGATATGGCTCCTATTTCGAATTTACCTATCCGGAGCGTTTGTGTGACTACATGGCATTCGTATTCATGTTTACTATCCTGGCCTCGGCTCTTATTGTATGTGCCATGTCTTTTGACCGTTTTATTGCAATCCTGTATCCTCACTTTTATAACTCCCCCACCAAAAACAGGAGGGCTGTTTTAACTCTGGCAGGAATTTGGATTTTCTCTGCCTTTATGTCCAGCCTCCATTTGATGGTTGGTCAGAAAAGCAAGAATTTTTTCCCGGGTTCTTGGTGTTTTATGGACTTTTCAGATGCCGCCACATCGAGTAGGATCCTGGCAATGTTGTATTCCCTGACAGGCATTCTGATCCTCACCACTACAGCCGTACTGAACACCGTGGTGATTGCCCGAGTCTGTTACGATAGCCAAAAGAAGAAGAAAAACATAACAAAGAAGAAGAATATCCACATCATTGTCTTCCTCTTCCTAATCGTGGTCTTGTTTTCTTCATGCATTTCATCGCTTTTAGTAAGTATTGAATCATCCTTTTCTTGATGATAGACATTTTATATTATTTCAGAATGCGAATAATTAATTGAAAGGCTGAACAACTATGGGAGTACAAGCAATAAATAGTATCTCTGAACCAAGTGAATTAAACTTATTTGCTTATTTTTATGTTCTTAACAGATTAACATATTTGGCCATGCAGTTGGAACAATTTCGGGAAATGGAGAGTTTGAACTTAATTCGGTTCGTCTTTCCATTTTGAATTCAATCATTGATCCCTGGATCTACATTTTATTTCGGAAGGATACATTCGATTTTTTCAAGCGAAGAGTCGGAAGATTGGGATTTATTTCGGTATCAAGCTCTTCCTCTGGGACTCAATCCTCCAAAAATGAAAGCCCCTCTAGCGATCCGTATGTTGATGAGACGTCAAAGGAAATGGTCAATCCAGCCTAACTGGAACAACGCATTAGAGAATGTACAGTTCTGACGGGACGTAAAAACAGTGGCTGGTTAAGATGTAAAACACAAATCTAGACAAAGTGGAACCAAAGAAACAATGAACTCCATATGTTATAAAGAAAATTTTAGTTTATGAATGCATTGTGGCAACGCACTTTGAAAAAATAACGCACTTTGAAAAAATTTTTCAAAGTGCGTTAATTTTGGGGACCAGGTTAACGCACTTTGAAAAAAAACTTTTTTTTTTTCAAAGTGCGTTAATATGGACCATATTAACGCACTTTGAAAAAAAAATTCTGCATGGCTTAGTCAATATTCCTACAAATCTTAAGTATGATAACTTATCATTTGAACCTGATTTGATACTTTTTGTCCCCCGCTTGAAAAGTGGGGGATATTAATTTGGGTCCGTCCGTCCGTCTAGCTGTCCGTCCATCCGTCTTTCTGTAACGCTTTCGTTTCCACACGATATCTCGACAACCCTTTGGGCTTTTGCAATGAAATTTAACATAACAGAATCCCTGTGGCCTTAGGAAGACCCCTTTTGAATTTGGGGTCAAAAGGTCAACATTCAAGGTCGTAAAGAACTACGAACGATAGTATTATTCTTCCGCCTATCTCTAAGTCAATTCTCAAAAGTTAACATCTTGGAATGATTCTCAAAATTTTTATACATATTTATATGAATTTTCATAAAACCTTACTTATTTGGGATACCAAAGAGAGATAACTCTATAATTTTGGCAAAACTTGTGTTTTCCACTATAGAAATCAACGGAAAACTGAAAATATTTTTAAAACAACTCCCCCCCCCCCCCCCCCCCGTGAAAAAAAATTCCTTTTTACAGATAATATGGACTGTCATTTTACAAATTTATGCCAAAGTTTTTTGTGTTTCACGGGGGAGGGGGGGGGGCATATGTTTATAGACAAAAAACGAAAAAAAAAGCTATTTAAAACTAAATAATTGTATTTTATTAATTTATATATGCTTTATTTTTTTGCGTAAAACATGAGAAAAGATATTAGATACATGTTAAATGAACAATTCCTATCAAAATATCATGTAAGTTAAATACCTGGAGGTTAACAGAGAGAATATCAGATATGGTATCAAATTAACATCGAAAAGCAGACAGGTACTTAATATAATTAAATGTAATTAATGTTATTAATATTCTGATTTTCCTGAAAATGAACATAAATAGACTTTGAGATTTAAAAGAACAAAATTTTGATTTACTACAGACTTCCTTGTACAGTGCTTATACTGTATTTAGAATGCTCTTTTTTCCAAATATCATTGACACTTAAGTTTACGAGTTATAGAAATAGATACATCTGGGTGGGAATGATAAAGAGTTAAGCTGATAGACCTTAATTCAGCCAGTCTTTTCTTCGTTGTCCGTTTCTAGGTTTTCTTCCATCCATCAGTTTTTAGAAAGAAACACATCAAGGTAAGGGCACCGCAAAGCGGAGCATTCCTTCCCAAAAAGCATGTTCAGTAAATCAAGGCAGCATTTGACATCGATCGCGATACAAATTACGTCAATTCCACACAGATAAAAAAAACATACACATAAAGTAATAACACACATAATCGCATCACTATATCCCATCATACGTTGCGAGGGGGTAATACTGTTGTCTATTTCTAAAATATACATGTAAGTCTAATTCCTTTTGTTTCATGAAAATTTTTTCAAAGTGCGTTAAATGTTTACATGGTGTAAAATTATGATGTACAGTCTTAACGCACTTTGAAAAATTTTTTCAAAGTGCGTTGATTTGGTCCCAAATTCAACGCACTTTGAAAAAATTTTTCAAAGTGCGTTAACCTGGTCCCAAAAATTAACGCACTTTGAAAAAATTTTTCAAAGTGCGTAATTTTTCAAAGTGCGTTGTAACAATGCATGGTATTTTTAATTCATCATAAAACTAGGCTATATATGTCTGTATAAAACATTATAGTTTTCTTATTTAAAGTAAAATAAACTCATTTTTAAATACTATGGGTTTTTTGCATTGTGTCTGACACATATTTGGATGTTTTGTTGGCTATAGACGACAAAGACTAACTAGCATCTAAATTAGACGATAAACGAGACGTTCCCTATTTATGTAGTAATAATCTAACAACACCTGAGAATGAATTTGTGTCAACCCACTTATTTGCTACTCAAGACCATGCTCTGAATACCTACAATTTTTAAATCGAGTCAGGCTTCTCACACGTAAGCTGGTATTACAGGGATTTCAACAACCTCCTTTAAACTGTTAAAGTCAGCATGTCATTAATTCTATATGGTTGTTATAAAGGTCTTTTTAACAACATAATACAAATTATCACGGGATTGTATTTTGACTGAATTATTTTACATATCAATTGTTAAGTCTTTGTTATTATACTGAAATTGTCTAAAGGAATGTTCCGTCTACTTAATCAAAATGAAGAGTTCCCGGTGGATGTGAACGGCCAACAGGGGATGCTTACTCATGTGAGGCACCTGATCTGTCCTCTTGAATTTCCAAGGACCAATGTTTTATGCCCTCTCCACAGATTTTATTGTTTATAGATTTTTTGTGATTGATTACTTTTACTTATCTTCACCATTTCATTTACGATATTTGTAACTTACTTTATATGATAATGCGTTATGTCCATCAATCTCCTAGACGACCGAACGAAATCAAGCCTCTCTGTATTGTTAAACAGATTGTTGCTTAACCCATAATATTTTGTGGACATTATTAAGAATTTTTTTCAAGGATCATAGTATGAGAGACATAGATCAAAATCATTCAACTCAATATACATGTAATATGATTTTCTGTTCAGTGCTTTAAAACCTAAATATAAAGTCTCGTCCAGTTTAACACAGTAACCATTTCAAAATTATCGATTTCTAAATTAACTGAAGAGTAATTCTTTTTTTTTTTTAAATTTAAAGCACCTTTATTTACTTCTCGTTTTATTTGGTGATCGGTCGCTCAGTGTTTTGAAAGCTTGTTGAACAAAATTTGATTTGTTTTCCTTATTTTTCTATCAAGTCTTAATTCAAAAGTCAGTCATAAAAGATTGATTTTTTTACTGCGAGTTTTTATTTTCTTTTCTTTTCATGCCCCCGTAAACGAAGTATCGGAGGTATATAGTTTTTGTCGTGCCCGTCTGTCTGTCTCTCTGTCTCTCTGTCTGTTTGTCAGCAAAAAATTTAACCTTGCCCACAACTTTCGATTTAAAGGAGCTATGACATTCATATTTCACATTTATATTCCGTGTGACAAGATCTTTCTTTCGGTACCACCAAATTTGACCTTTTGACCTTGACCTTGGTGTTTGACCCACTTTTACACAAAAATTTTGAACTTTTATTTTGGCCATTTCTTTTGAACAGTAAATACCAGAACATTTATACTTGACATATTTATTTTTTGTGACAAGACCTTTTATTGAAGACCAACAACAACGACCTTTGATTCTGACCTTGGAGAATTTTGCACTTTTGAAAAACTTTAACCTTGGTCATTACTTTTGAATGGTAAGTGCTAGGGCTTTCATACCTCACATATGTCTGAGATATTGCCGATTTTATGAATTTTAAAGGGTCGGGTTGTCCAGAGTTTTTTCTGAAAAATGGGTTGAGATAGAAACATGAAACTTATGATAGACCTATGTCTGTAGATATGCCTTTTGCATTTTGCTTTTTCCGGAAACGCCGCACGTCGGCGCTCGTTATGGACCGAAAATAGTCCTATCGCGCATTTTAAATTTTCTTACACCTTTTCTACGATAACTTTTTACCTGGAAATATTTTGTTAGAACATATAGAACAAAAGAAGTGTAGAATTCCAAGATTTTTCAAATGATATCTCGATAAAAGGGCTGGCCCCTAAAATCAGGGGCGTAGAGGGGCCGAAATTTTTTTCTCCATATCTCAAAAAGCATTGAGAATTTGTAACACGTCAAAGAAACAAAAATGTTTAAAATATCAAGCTTAATCTATTGGAGTCATCAAAATACGTCCAGCGACGTCACTTCCGGCCAAAGCGGAAGTAGTCGAAAAACGTGTATTTTTGTCGTTCTAGACAAGTTTATGGGTAACATTTATCACTGTGAGCATAAAAATTAATTTTCCATCCGTCGTCGTCACTTCCTGTCAAACCGGAAGTAGCAAAAACTGGCTTATTTTTGCATTAATTAATATAGATTTAGAAGATTTAAACCAGTTTTGGGAGTTATTACTCATTTTTGTAAAAAAAAAATGAAAGTTACTTCCGGTCAAACAGGACGAAAGACCTACTCGTTGCTTTGCGACGAGCTTTGCTCTAGTTATTTTTTTTTTCTTACCGATTTTGTGCGCGCGAGTTCTCGAGAACGGGTCGATCGATTTTCATGAAACTTTCAGGTCTGAAAGAACATCAAAAAATCTAAAAATGTATTTTTTTATTTTGATGACGTCATTTCCGGTTCGGAGTTTTCTGCGATTTAGTGATTTTTAGAGGGTCACTTTGTCCGGCAGTTTTCTCAAAAAGCACTTAACACAGAAGCATGATATTTTCAGTGATGCTAGAGCAAACTTTGGAGAAGTGCCTTTTGTACATCACAACTACCGGAAGTACGACGCGCCGCCGCTCGCTATGGGCCGAAAATAGTCCTATCATGACTTTTAAAATTTTCAATGCCTTTTCTATGATAACTTTTTACCTAGAAATATTTTGTTAATACATATAGAATAAAAGAAGTGCAGAATTACACGATCTTTCAATTGATATCTCAAAAAAAGGGCTGACCCCTAAAATTAGGGATTTAGAGGGGCCAGAAGTATTTTCCTGATATCTCAAAAAGTATTGACAATTTGTTAAGCATCATAGAAGAAAAGTTGTTCAGAATAACAAATAGCAGATGCAGAGATCATTTAAAGTCGTTAAGATGGCGTCACTTCCGGTCAGACCGAAAGTATTTGTAAATGGCTCGTTTTTGCACACATAACCGTATATGTCTAACAATCTCGATCTCATCATCTTCAGAATTAGACGGAAGACTCATTTGTTGCTTCGCAACAAGTTCGTCTAGTTTTTTTTTTTTCCCTTCTACTTCCTAGACGCCAACTTTGAAGCCTCATATCC